AGCGCCCCCTACTGGAGACAGGAAGTAAGGCTTGTGTGGTGATCATCATCTGATTTACGTGACATTTTCACAGCGTTTTCTACACCTGATGTGCTGGTGTGTAACTGCACCCCGACACACTGCAGGGCCCGATCATTACTTCAGCTTTAATTCTGTTAAACAGAAAAAGACAAAAAACTGAACCGAACACTGATTGGAGAACTCAGAATTAACAGTATTAAGCTGCTCTCTCTCTCTCTCTCTCTCTCTGCGGTGTACAGGTGCTCTCTCTCTCTCTCTCTCTCTCTCTCTGCTGTAAATCGATGTGAAAGCCATCGTGTCCTGTTCTGCTTGGCTGTGCAGTAATGACGCTGGAGAAGAGAAACGACCTGCTGGCAGCAGCTCTCACCTCCAAACCCTCTGACTTCAGCTGCTCTCTGAACGCTGAAGAGTCCCTCGTTCAGCACTTCTGGTTCTCCGCCAGAAGAGGACCCGCTCCCTCTGTAGATAAAAACATATAAACGTTTCCAGCATCCAACGTACTGCTGTCGTTAGATGGCTTTAAATGAGGTTTAATGTTCACAGTTTCTCTTTACTTTCCCTCAGTATTACAACATTAGGCAGTAGACACGCAGCAACATGCTAAAGTTCAGCAGGATAAACAACAACATAATTACATAAACAACAAAAACCTAAACTTACAGATTCCAAGTTTGAAGTCTTTGAACTCTTCGTTAGAGTCACTTTACAGCGGACTGCTCAGTAAATGTTCAGTAAGTTCAGTTCAGTTCCTCCTACAGGTCTGATGCTCTGTTACACAGAACCACATTTATTGAGTGAAATATATTTGTATTTATATGTTATTTCTGACATTTTAACAATCCGCATGCATCAGGTCTGCATATGTTCCTCTTGAGGGACGAGAACTGATACCATTTTATTGATACCATCATTGATTCTGCCTATCGCTCCGATTCTTTCTCCATCCCTTATTTATTCCTGATTTCCACAGTAAGCAACAGACAGTTTGAGCTTCTTTATCTCTATTTAGATTTTACCTTTATTAAACCAGATCAGTCCATTGAGAACCGATTCTCTTTTACGATGATGACCTGCCAAAGAGGAGGTGATATAAGTAAAATGAACATACAGCGATTCCCATCCCACTTCCTCCCTCCCCCGAAAATAACAGATTACTTTTCACCTATCATAGTCCCTCCAGGAAGTTGTGATAAACACAAATTCAACCAATTCCTGTGTATTCTGTGCGGTCTTGCAATTTCCACAAATTTGATCAATTGTTGTTTCACCAATCACAGCGGTCCCCCTGTGCCAAACACTGAGCCTTACGTCACCAAACCAGAGATTTTATTCTCAATCATACAAATAATAGTTAAAATATAGTTTAAATAATAATTACTGTAATAAATATGGTAGAACTTTTTATTGTCTTATTCCATATTCTACTGTATAAATAGATGTAAATACGTTTTTACCATCAAAAGAAACACATTAACACATAAAAATATCATATGAATGCTGTATAAAAAGGTTTTTACCATGAGATATGACGAGAAGAGAAACTAAAAAATGTATTTCATTTGAAAATGAAATAAAGGTTCTGTCATGAAATATCACAGATAGTATTTACTGTTACAGAAACTGTATTTAACCTATTTAGAGTTTACAGTTTTTCCCTGTAAGATATACAGATATTATCAGTGTGTATTAAATCATCACCAGTGATTGTCCGACCAGCGAGAACAGAAGGTGTGAGCTGTAACGTCAGAGTAAAGCCTGTAGCGAGCACAGAGCAGCCTCTCTCTGATAGACTATGTGAGAACAAACAGCAGCAGTTATTGAACATTAGCAGTTCTCTCACGTTCCTATGTTCTCTCTGAGAGAACCGTCCTGCAGATGCTGCTTCGCCCACGCGATCCAATTTCAGCCGGTCAGGAGCTCAATGGTTGGGTTCGTCGCTGAGGAGAAAACACCTCGTTGAGGTCACACGTAGCCGACGCTGTTAGCATGCGTTAAAGTCTCTGAACGCATTGATTTACAGGTCAGCTGTAACACAACCTTCACTTCCTTCACTTTCTTGCAGGCTGGAGTGAGGACGTTAAAACACCTGACCACTCACACACCTGGTGCAGCGTCCGGAGGTTAAAGGACCATACCGCTGTTTTATATGTGCTCAACCCAACCTGTCTGCCCTCCTCCACACCAGAGGAGTTTACTCGAATGGATTTTGAACCGGTTCTTATAAAAGTGGATATTGTTACATGTTTTTACATACAGTGAAACCGTTGAAAATATATCTGACAGCACTGAGCGTCGTCCTATAAGAGATCCTCCATCCCGTCCACTGTTCAGCTCGCTACTTCAGGCTGCACCCGTCACGAGCTATCGTTGATGAAAATCTTGATATTGATTTGGGGACGATGTCATGGCTGATAGCTAGCTGGTCTCGTTGTTAAAAATATTGTCAAATTATAATTATATTACTGCTCTGAGCTCCCAGAGTCACCTAATGGGACGGCTAAGTTAGCTGCACTGCTAACCAGCTAACAGCAGTAGCTAACCACAAGTAGCCATCATCAGGAGCAGTCGGAGGACGTCAGAGCGAAAAGCAGAAAATATTCTCTCCATAAAATGTGATCCAGTTTCGTCAAACTCACTGATAAAGTTCTAAAGCTTTGGTGCAGTAATCAGTGAAACACTCTGGTGTCGTCTAGTCTCGTTTGTGGTCCAATAAACAGCAAATCCATCAAATTCAGAATGAATCTGATTGCTGTTTCCTGTCTTTTCACAGATTGTCTTCCGGAAAATCAGTGATGTGAAGCGTGAAGAGGAGGAGATGTTGAAGAGGAAGAACGAGGCCCCTCTGAACCTCCCTCCGGATCATCCAGTCCGACGGCTCTTCCAGCGTTTCCGGCAGCAGAGGGAGGCACGGCTTGCCGGGGAACGGGTTATTCAGGGCACCGGAGACGTGGAGAAAGGTGTCATCCCCCTGGAGCCGCCCAGAGGTCCGGAGGTCCTGGCCTCCACCAGTATAGTCATGGTAACCGAGAGTCCGGCCGCACCCACCAGCTCTTCAATATCCGCCGCTTCCTCTTCGTCCAGGACCTCCAGCCGGGTCATGCTCCATGCGCCCGCCACCCAAAACGGAAACCTGATTGGTTGCAAATCTGCAGAGCCGGCGAAGGCTAAAGGCTGGGGACGATTCAAGGAGTCGGTCGTGAAGGCCGAGTCATGGAGCAGCGTCTCTAAGGCCGAGTCCATGGAGACGCTGCCCGATAGAACTAAGTCTCACGATGAGATGTCCCTCAAGAAAACCGACTCCTGCGACAGCGGCATCACAAAGAGCGACCTCCGTTTAGACAATGCTGGCGGCGCCAGATCGCCGCAGGAGCAAAGCCCGGTCAAGTCCGATGAGAAGAGGGTCTTCTGTCCGATACCGGAGCAGAGCATTCAGGCCTCTTTCATCGAGCTAAAACAAGAACTACGAGGAGACATCAGATCTCTGAACAGTCGCATGGCGGGGCTGGAGGCTCAGCTGGCTGAAATGCTTCGACTTCTCAAATCCAGGAAGTCGTCGGGCTCCTTCTTCGAGATCTCGCGGCCTCCTTCCCCCGACTCCGATAAGGACAGTCTCTCGTAAACTGGACGTGGATTCCAGTCAGCGGCTATTGAACCCCTTCCGCCTCCAGACATCAGAGAGGAGCTTCTGACCTCAGCGTGAGGCTGTGCTGGTGGCGGTCGATGACATCACACAGACGACAAAAGCACTTTGTTACATTCGAAGCGTTGCTCTGCGAGACAGATCAGACTATAAAAAGACATTTATGATGGCACCTTTGGTCCTCAGGAGGGTTTCAAGACCTTCACATGATATCGGCAATAATAATAGACGGCTTTAATGTTTTTGGCACTGTGATTGAAGGGTTGTTTTAATCTCATGAGGTCTGGTCCACAAAGTCTGTTCAGAACCTCTCAAGGATCCACTCTCGTTGGGTCTGCACTCGCAATCAAAACACGGTTTACACACTTGTAATAGACACAAATGACAGCAGTGTTTAATTAATGGTAATATGCAATTTCTTTCACTAGGGGGTCTCTC